CACTAGTTAATGTTGGGATATTACCGACACAAGTAAAAATATTCTCCGAAAAAAGTGTAATATATATGTCGTTTATGTATTTTATTCTAAATTATTGAAATTTATTCAATATAATTTCAAATATATTTTTTTACCAACATTTTAAAAAATTGTGTTTATTTTTGTCTAACAAATTAAATGGTTTCAAAATATATAATTTTGGAACTCTATATACATTACATTTTCAATTACCTTTTAGAGATTAATAATTTTTTTTAATTTTTAAAAAATTAGTATTTTACAAACTTAAATTTTCTATAAAAAATAAATTGAAACTATAATTTTAATTTTGTCTAAAATTTAATATATATTTTTCCTTATATTTTCGAAATTTTATGGATTTTCTTTGGATTTGTTAAGCTTTTGTATGTTTTTACTTTTTTGGATTAATATTAAAAAACAAGTTTTATGAAAATAATTAGAAAGTGATCTCCAAATTGATAAATATTTATAAAAAAACATCAATTTGTAGTTTTTAACATGTTTACATATACTTGGTGTATGTCACCATGTATTATATAATAGCTTGTGTAGTTTAGAACATATTTCTATACTTGGGATGACTTGCAACATATTAGCCAATACTTGGTGTAGTTAAGAATTATTTTATTTTATTTTTGTCGGTCAACATCATTCATTGATGACTTAAAGATACAAAAGTACAAGGGTTTTTAATAGAGATAAATAAACGGGCCTAAATATTTGACTGGGCCTCTTTACGAAACATAACCCACTAATGAATAAAAATTAACGCAAGGTTAGAGATTGAGGGGGTGATTGGTTTGTACTTTTATTTGAGGTTGTTACTGTAAAAAAATTGTTAATTTTTTTGCTGTGATTTTTTGGTTTTAGTTATGACTGTAACTTTAAAAAAAAAATAAAAGTCATGAATTGTTGCCTTTTAGAAAAACTTATTAACGTAAAAGAAAAAAAAAATCTTGGCTTTGAAAATTTTTAGGAACTGTGAGTGAGTGATTTTAGGTAAAGTCAAAGTGAGATTGGCAAAATTTAGACTTTAAAAAATTTAAAACAAAATGACAGTTTTTAAAGTCCTCGGCAATCACCCCGTGAACACGTTGTGTTATGCCACAACTCTTTAACAAAGAAGAAGGCCGAGATTTTGAAACAAAATTTCCTCACCAACATGATAATTGCATCTCCGATCACTCCTAACACAAAGGACACCTCTTGCCACAACCTTGAATAAGGCCCATTATCGTCTAACACATCGGAGGGATGAGGAAACGACATTATTCCCTGTCGAGAAGATAAGAGCATATGATTTTAGATGAAGAAATCCTTTTCGCAAACCCCAGATCCACGCTTCTTCAAAAGGAAGAAGACTAAGATGATAAAGAGCAAAACCTGAGAAAGTCGGGAGAAAATCCGAACAAAGTCGGAAAGTCGATCCGATAAAACGGAAGATTTATAGATATAAACCGCTAATCTAAAAACAAAAGAAAATAGATATAAATACACCGGACCGACGCCGTGGCTTTGGGAGCCCACAAGCATCGGCCGGAAAAGCGAGATTTGCTCGGAAACTTTCAGAAGAAGAGAGCTTTTCGTTT